TTTTCCTCATCAAGACAAATATTTGTTTCCTCAGCTTCGCTGCCTCCACCGCGAAGTCTAAGCTTGCCGGATTGATAATACTGATTTCTATTTAATGACGCGTTACCGATTGAATTTTCTGCGTCGCAATAGTAGCAACTTAACGATTCCTTAGCCGAACATGCTAGGATTGCAGGCGAATGTAGTATTGCTTTGATTTCATTATTTGCAGTTGATAAAGACAGGCGACCATAACAATTTTTGCAAAATAATTCACCAAGATGTGTCACTACGTTACAACTATTAAGTAATTTCCGACAGTTACCTACAGAGAGTAGAGGGTAAAATACAATGATTTTTTTTCGCTTATAACTGAATAATGTAAAACAGATACTCCAAGAAAGTCAAATTGACTTTAATTAATATTTTAACAAAAAATTTTCAATACTAACGACAAGAGAAACAAAATGTATGCCAAACTTTTCCAAGAGCTAATTTTTCCTCTGCGAAGTATACCTCGCGATTACAACGTGGACAAACTCCAGGCATTTATCAGCGTTATTTTTTTTTTCAAATATTTCAAAACACATGTCACAGAAATTTTTAATTTAGATAAATTAGAATTATTTACATGATAATGAATATCCTCTTCTATTGAAATTTCTTTGATTATTTATATAATATTTGTTCTAATATTTGAAAACGTTTAAGGAATAATCATGTAGAATACAATAAATTTCACATATACTTACTGCCAAACTGTGCAATAATCAAATTTTTTTATATAAAAATAATTTAAACGAATTCTCCAAAAAGTGTTTAAAAATGTCGAACATTAACGACTAATCAATGAAAAACAAAAGACAGTAACTAAGCATGTGATGAAATAATAATTGGTGAGAATTTAATTATTTTTTACACATTATAATATTACAACTATTTATCTTGTTACACCATAAAAATAAGAAAATGTATAATTATATACAATATACATTAATCAATAATTTCACAAATATATATTTCTTTTTTTATATTTATTAAACGTAAAAATCGTAATTCATATTACATTGGCAAACGTGTGTCAGATAAAGTCAATGTGCTGATCCACATGCGGCAAACGTCAAGTCATAGTGTAAGTGGCTCTTTGATTCAAAGAGGTTAAGAGGGCTGCTTGATAGAAATGGCAGCAATAAAAGGGCTGGGTAGAAATATCCCCTATCTGAGGCAACAATTTGCTGCCCTTTTAGGAAACACCAGCACTAGTGTGAAATTCATATGTATAGTAGTTTTGTTTTCTTATTGCCTTTCTTTCTCCACGGAAGCGGTACGTGTATTAAGTGTGACACCAGGTTATCTACTGCCTCCAGTTTTTTGGATCTGGACAGCATTTACCTTCTGTTTTCTTGAAATACATTTCTGGGAAGTATGTGTGGATATAGTCACAGTAGGGCTTTGTGGCAAATTAATCGAACCTTTGTGGGGCGCGATGGAAATGATGACTTTCTTTGCTATCGTTAATTTTGGCGTCGCTGTACTGTCAGCTTTATTTTATTTATTTCTTTATATGTGTACCAATGATCCAGATTTATTTTTTGATATACACATTCATGGACTTACTGGATATATTGCAGGTATATTCTTTGCATAAAATTAATTTTATTGTCAGTTATTTGTTATCATTATATATATGTCTCAAATGATGCGATTTATTTTTATTCATAGGTGTCACAGTAGCTGTAAAACAGATAATGCCAGATCATATTTTAGTTAAAACACCAATTGGAAAGATTACAAATAGAAATATACCATTAATGGTGTGGGTTATGGGAGTGATATTATGGCTTTTTGGATTATTAGAAGGCACTCATCCAACTATGTTTCTTAGTGGTTTATTAATATCATGGATATATCTCAGATTTTATCAAAAACATAATAATGGTACACGTGGTGATATGGCAGATAATTTTACATTTGCAAGGTAAATTCCATTTTATTATTCTTTGTTAAAGTAAAATTAAATAAAATATTTTTAAATTTGTAATATCTATAAATTTGATTTTAGTTTTTTTCCAAATGTTTTACAACCACCAATAGCAGTTGTAAGTAATACAATACATGGCTTTTTTGTACGAATTGGAATATGTAGAAAAGTAGTTCGAAGATTTGACATGTCTAATGCTCCACCTGGTCTTATTATAAATCTTCCTGGTATTGATCCACATGACAGTGAAAGAAGAAGGTTTGCTTTTCTTTTCTAGTTGTTCTTAAAACATACACACACAATACAAAATTAAAAAATGTTTAGTTAAAAATTAGTTTTCAAACAATATTATCTATATCAATATTATCAATATAGACTATAACTAATAATTTTCAGGCAAATAGCATTGAAAGCCTTAAGTGAAAGATTAAGTAAGGATCATGCAAAACCATGGCAACAGGAAAGAGCTAAGAAACATTCTCCAGTACCTCCTGCAGTTTCAATCCCAATTCCTGATACTACTACACCCAAACCGCTTGCATCTCCTCTCATTCCACAAATTAATGTTAACATACATAATCATACTTCTACTAATACGTGATCGCATCAAATAGACTGATTTCAAATACATGTATAAATCTGTTAAGAAATTTCTAAAGAAAATGTTGATAACATGTAACTACATTGATAATATGGCAATTTTTAATAATGTAATAGTTTTCAATAACATATAAGTAAATAGAAAAAAGATGCAAAAAATATTTCTAAATTCTTATAATTTTTAATTATACAACTTCATCGAACAAGCATTTATTTATTAATGTTTCTTGATAAATCCAAAGAACAAAATAAAATACTCAAGCTGTGCCTTAATGTTCATAGCTTTTAATCAGTTCATTTTTCCATTCTCAAGTCTTTTTAAATATATAAACATAGAGTTAATTTGTTCTTTGGTATTATCAAAACGTCAGTAATTTAATTTATTTGTACTCATTATAATGCCATATTACCAATTGCTAATGCTTCATATAATCTTTAGAAGATTCTTAAACAAGACAAAATATAGGAAAACCAATCTTTCTAGTTTGTGATGATATTTTCCAAGGAAATCGTGTTCTTTGTTACTAAGAACTATAAACTCTATTTATGTAACTGGGTACTGTCGGTAAATGATGAATAATTAAAATTTTTTTAACAAACGTGTTGAAGGTCCTGTAAATACTGCATAAGCGCAGCATTGTTCCGTCTTTAATACTATTCAGTGATAGCTGGAAGATAAAAATACATTATGAATAACAATGAATAAAAATAGACTGGCTTCCAGTATAATGTTGTAAAATAATTTTAGTAGAAACAGATTTAAATTTGAAAGAAGTTATTACTTCACTGACATGTTTTAGGAAATATTTTGTACAATCAGAATTGCAATTAAACATTCTGTATTGTGTAAAATGTTAATGTATAATACATATACATGTTAAAATCAGATGACAATTGTAAAACACAAACATTTTCAGCTTATTCTAAAATCATATTTTAACAAAAGTTTTGAAATAAAATATGTTTACTTCTTGTATCACAAAAGACGATATTTTTACAGAAAAAATAATTCGTATTATATGAATTATTTTTGCAGTATCTTTAACAATTATTTTATATAAAAAATTAACTTCAAGAAATTCTTTTCTGGTTATTTTTAATTATAATTATAGTTGTATCTGTACCTAAGTACATAATATAGTTTTGTTAAAGAATTAATCTAAATTATAAAGTATATTTTAACTTATATTTGTATATTGCTTATATACATAAATTTATATTATTTGTTATGTTCATCGCTTATTTTATTAATTTATTTTATTAATCTTGTCTAATATAGCTCAAAAATAATTAATATAGTTTTAGCTACATCTTAGGTACAGGTATCTAAAATATATTCATTTAGCTAGTGTAACTTCATAATCACTGCATTTCTGACTTACATTTGGTTCATTTATTTTTTTTTTTTTATTTAAGACAATGCAAAAATCAACTGCTGTGCCACAAACACATTGCAATTTTTTTTGCCATTCATATTTTTAAACTATTGTTAAATATTGATCATTGTAGTTTACACAAATATTATTTAAAAATATATATATACGAAAAGGTGAATGGAAAATAGTTCATATAGATATATAGCAATGTGGTTAATACTTGATATATCAATGGGTTGTAAATACCAAGAATGATGTAAAACATGAAGGGAACAAGATATAATGAAGCAGTAATTATATATACATTAATACCTGTGTGATGGAGTAAGATTAAAAACTATTTTCATGTATGATTCAGAACTGTCCTTTAAGAATGTATGTTGTTCATATTTTGGCCTTCCACTTAAAGATTACATATAAACAAATTTTTAAGTACTTTTATTATAAGATTTTTAGTCAATTAATATTTATTATTATAAATATGACTAGAGTTAAAAAGTGAAAGGCCAGATTGTATGTATGAATAAATGAATATTTGTTAATTTCATTAAATACATTATAAGAATCTAATGTAATAATTACACATTATATATATTATATATATAATGCGTATGCAAATGTTATACATCATGAGTTTTGTACATATGTTAAAATCGTTACAGTCTGTACAATATTAAATTTTACTAAAAAAAAGTACATATTTCGTATTTTCCCATATCGCATGTAGGATAAAATTGTAAAAATTAGTATTTGATATGCAATATATAATACCAATACTGATTTCATATATTAATATTTTATTATTTCATTTATACTATTTTCGATTTATTACTTATGTATTAATAATAAGTATAAAACATTTTCATATTACATAGCATAAACTTATTTCATTCTTGATTACAAATCCTGTTTTAAACTATAAGTTTAAAAATAGGAAATAAATAAATTTACCCATGGGATTAAAACAACTTTATTGCTATAATATTGTATAATTTTCGCCATTAAATGGTGCGATTATAGTCTTTCAAAAGTATAAAATATTTTGAATATTTCCTAATGGGGACAGTGCATTTTCAAAAATGGTATTTACAACCATTTTTAATTGTCATACATCGCTTTCATAATAATTTTATCACAATTTATATCATACAGTTCTTTACAATAAGGACATATAGTTTCTTTACCTATAAAATTGTTGCTGGTGCTGTGACCATTGTGTCTGTGGTGGAGGAGCTTGTTGTTGAGGAGGTGGTGGACCATATGATGGATCTTGTATATATCCTGTTGGAGATGGCCTTATTGAAGTTGGTGTTGAAGACACATATTGCTGTTGTTGTGGTGGTGGTGGTGGCACGTAAGATACTTGAGCAGGATGCTGTGGTTGTGGATAGTATTGTTGTGTTTGAGAAACAGGAGGTGGCACATTATATCCTCCGTAATTAACTTGTGGAGGTGGAGGAGGATAATAATGATGACTTTGTTGTGTATGCATATCATGTGTTGTTATAGCTGTATCTTGAATCGGCACAGTTATAAGATTTGTTCTTAATGGAGCATTATTTGGTGGTGGAGGTGCAGAATTTTGAGTATAATTCTGCATAGATATTAATGCCTGTGGTCTATGTTGCTGTCTGTGCTCGACTGGAGTTTGATTAACCATTGAATTCACTCTAGGATCGTTTCCCATTATTGGTTGGACCAAATGGGATTGTACTGATTTTATGCGAGTATTCTGCATAGCAACTGATGAAACTTTAGTTAATTGAGATTCTATATCAGACTTGGAATGCACATATTGAGGAGGATCAACTTGCATTCCTTGAACTTGTTGTGGTGGAGCTGATATATGTCGATGATTAATATGAGCCTGTGCACAAATGAATATATTCACATAATTGAGAAAATTAGCAAAAGATAAAAAGAAATAAAAGAAATTACCTGCAAATCTCTTTGACTGAGATATGTTCTTCTACAACCTGCATTCCCATATCTAGTACCTCCATGTGTACACATAAATACAGTACCTAAACCAGTTTGTTCCACTCTAGTAACTTTTTCCATACAACGAGGACAAACTTTGTCTTCTCTTTTGGCACAAGATAAACAAAATACATGTTTGCAAGGTATCTATCAAACAAAAATATTTTATATTTGTGAAATTAAGTTAAAAAATAAAATGATGTTATTTATACTAATTAATTTCTTTACCATACGTCCATAAATAAGGATTGGTTTCAAACATTTGTCACAGCAATGTATCATAGGATTCAGTACTTTCTCTCCAATGAGATTCACTCTATGATCCCATCTTAAACGTAACATGGGTTCAGGCGGTCCTCTATTAATAGTTGTAAAAGTTGGAGCTTCTAATTGTGATATATCAGCTTCCAAGTCAAATTGCTGCTCCAATGGAAGCTGTTGTATTGGTGGAGCTTCATGTTCTTCTAATTCTGTACCAGTTCCTTCTGCTGGAGCTTCTTCAACTTGTTGAGGAGTATCTTCTTCATCACTTTCAATGACCTATTTTAGAGAAACGTTTAATATTATGGTTCCCCGATCCAAATAAGATATAATTATTAAAGAAATAAAATAATCAAAAATTAAAAATTTCAAAAATATTAAGATTTACCTTTACTTGTTTTTTAGATCTGCCTCTAGCTCGTCCTCGTGTTCTACCACGAGCTCTACCACGGGTTCTGCCTCTCATTCTTTTACCACCATCTTCTTCCATCACTAAAATTATATTTCATTATCTGTGAAATAAAAAATCAATGGTCTGCATCTGTTAAACGAGCACTGACTTTTTAAAGTATAAAATCAAAAAAAAGAAAAGAACAAAAGTATTAAAGTACATATAGTAATCAAACAAAAAAATACATTTGATATTATTCTAAAAATTAAATAAATAAACCATCAATAACATAATTACGATTTAATTCAATTAACTGAACATAATACATAAATAAAGTCTAGTTTCAAAATTTTATATTAAGAGCGGTACTTACCTAATGATATAGGTTATATTTCTAATTCTGAACAATACAATTTAACATCAAATATTATATTAATAACCAAAATATTTATTGAAACAGACAATGCACTAGAAAGCTCAATGTTACTCTTAACAATTAAACAGAGGAACTTTTTTTATTGTTGAACGATCAAATATTTCATACCGAACTAGTCATGTCACATACATGACTGAAGAAATAATCTCTTGCTACAACCTTCATTGTAGTAATCCATGTGACGTAGTTGCTGTTACCTTGGAGATGAATCTACTTTGTACATAATGCAACGTCGTATATTGCAATCAAGTCTCCCGTATTTTCCTATTTGTCATTGTATTTCAGAATGTTAATTTATATTGATTAATTTAATTTGATAATTTTATACTTTCTCCAAATTATTGTAAATAACATAAAAATATGTAAAAAATATATTGGAATAAAAATGTTATACTATGTACAATATATTCATCATTGAAGATAACTTCAAGATGATTTAATGGAGGGAGTAGTTCTGAAATCGAAGACAACTCAAGTGTTTTTAACGTAGTATTTAAGTGCCTTATTTTATAATAATAATTAAAGTTTTAAAAAATGTCTTGTTGTTCAGGAGATGATGATGACGAGCAAAGACCTGATCCGACACGCGTGCGAGGTTGTACAGATATTTTCTGGCTTTGTTGTTTTATAGTATTTTGGTTTCTTATGGTATGTAATTAAATTTTATCTTATACTGTGTTATACAATAAAAAATACTGATATTAAACAACTTATTGTAAAGTTTGTTACTATTTAATAAAATATACAGTTTTCTTAATTACATTACAGATCTTAATAGCAGCTTTTGCTCTTGTTTATGGTAATCCTTTACGACTTATAAATGGATATGATAGTTTTGGAAATACTTGTGGTATGAAAAATAATCCAAAGTTTGGTAGTATGGAGTTGTCTGGACAAGATACTAGTAATAAACCGTTAGTATTAAAATCAAAATCATTACCTTTTATAAGTAATATGTTTTTAAAAATGTGTATTATAAATTTTTTCCAATTTGATTACTCCAGATATTTGTTTTTTTTGGACATAAACAATGTTACACAATCTTTGAAAATTTGTGTCAAGAAATGTCCAGATCGAACTATGACATCAATGAATGATATATGTAAATTTTATGAGGAAACTGGATCTCAACTTTGTCATGATAAACCAGGAAATGATTTAAGTGCTTGTGGTAATGGAAATAGAAAAAATAAAACAGGTTCTTGTCCTGAACTACCAGTATACAACAGCATACCAGTTTTGAATCGTTGTATTCCCAAAGCTATTAAAGATGTAGGAGAAACTATAATTGCCAACTTATATGGACTCATTAATTCATGGGATATTATTGAACAAATTTTAGGAGATTTATATAAAACATGGAGAGAGATTTTATCTTTATCATTTTTAGCATTTGGTATGATATTTTGATATTGATATAATAATATAATATCAATATTGTTTAAATTTCTATCATGAAAACCTCCTAAAATTCTATTTATGTTTTATTTCAGTTTTATCTCTTTTTATGATTGCCATATTTCATTTATTAGCAAGTATTGTAACATGGATTGTGATGATTCTTGTTAGTGTAACAACTATAGGTGAGATTTAAATATAAAAGATGATAAAAAAATAATTTAAACTATACTTCAATAGAACATAATTCACATATCTAAATTTACAGCTGGAAGTGTATTATTATGGTGGACATATATAGAAATTAAAAGAACTTTAGATAAAACTGATCCAAATCAACTTTTAGAGGAATCTGTTAGAAATGAAAGAGCATTTCTAGCTTTCTCTATTATTGCAACAATAATAACTGTAAATGACTACAATTAATTATTATCTTTATAATTTGTTAAAACTTTTATTTGAAAAATTTTCATGCGTTTCAGATTATTTTATTACTACTTTTAAGCATATTACGCAAACGGATTGGATTTATGACAACATTATTCAAAGAAAGTGCTATGTGTTTAGCAGAATTACCAGGTTTATTTTTTCAACCTTTACTAACATTTACTGCTTTAATATTATTCTTTGCATTTTGGGTGACTGTAATACTCTGTCTTGCAACAGCTAGTAAGTATTTTAATTCTTTATGTAATTTCAAAATAAAAATAATATATATATGAAAATACAAATTACAGATTATCCTGAGACAAAATCTGTTCAGATGTATAAGAATCATATATTTGATCCCTTAAATTTGAGTTTAATTGGAGAAAAGAGTGCATTTATTGAAGAAAAGAGATTTGATTTTTCTCTTGATTCATTTAAAAGTAAGTTTGTGTTAACATATTCAATATATTCTTTCTTAATTTAGCACTTGTTACTACTTTTGAAGTGTTTTAGCTTTCACACTTGTGGAATATGTAGATCCAACTTGGGTAAAGTATATGTGGTGGGTGTATATCATAGGATTAATATGGACATCTGAATTCATTGTTTCTTGTCAAGATATGGTGGTATCAGGAGCTGTAGCACATTGGTATTTTAGGTAATACTATAAGAACAATTTTCTGTATATATAAATAGGGAGAGACATATATATGTGTGTGTATGTGTATGTGTGTTACACAATGTTTGATCAATATTTATTATTTCAGAGGTAAAGATGCTAGTGCATCTCCAGTATGCTCTGCTATGGGAAATTTAATTAGTTATCATTTAGGTTCTGTTGCTTGTGGTTCATTTTTAATAACACTTTTTAAGTTACCCCGTTTAATTTTGACGTATCTTTACGCTAAGTATGTTTTATTAATATATGAACATACAATAGTACATTTTTGCTAATATAATTTATAACGTAAATATTTTACAGATTTGAGAGGAACAAAGAAACGTCTCCATGTGCACAGTGTGGTTTAAAATGTTGTATATGCTGCTTTTATTGTTTAGAAAAATTTATTCGATATATGAATCACAATGCATATACTGTAGTTGCCATTGAAGGAACACATTTTTGCAATGCAGCAAGAATTGTATGTTATTGTTATATATTGTATGTTATGTATATGTTGTGTATATAATTTAAAATTTAATTTTATATGCTAAAAAATCGTGAAAATCATAATAGATTATATTTTTCATATTTTTAGGCATTTACAGCTCTTGTTAGCAATGCTTTACAAATAGCAATGATTAATGGAATAGGAGATTTTATTCTATTTCTGGGTAAATGTTTTGTCACAGCTGCAACTGGAAGTATTGGACTATTATTTATGAAACAAGATCCTAGATTACATTTTTATGCAGTACCAATCTTTGTTGTCTGTGTTTTTGCATTCTTCATTGCTCATTGTATCATTTCTCTATATGAGGTACATTATTTTGTTTTCAATTTTGATTTTTGTATGCAACTACATTACATATATTATATATTTGTTACTTCATATTTTATTACAGACTGTGATAGACACTTTGTTTCTTTGTATCTGTGAAGATAAAAATTTAAATGGCGAGAATGGGAAATGGAATCAATCAGCATTAGCACAAATTGGATCTAATACTACTGCAAATGGTCAACAAGCACATGAATTAGTACCAATGAACACATAAGTATAATATTAAAGCATATATTTTCCATTCAATAGTTGCACATTTTTCTACACGCTTTTATACATTTTATTACAATAGTATATAATATTTATAAATTTGAAGGCTCTAACTTTTTCATAATTTTTATGATATAATTTTAAGTCGTCCATAAAATTGTCATCATCATATATATACATAAGTATGAATACCTTGTACTAACATTACAAGTTATATTTACATACAACCTTAAGTTTGTCAGTCAAAAGATGCTTTTAAAAATTCTTTTTTTTAAAAATCTTTGGAAACTACTGCCATATATTTGTACAAAATATCTTTGAGTTGTAACATAGGATTTCTAATGAGTTTTTAATCAGTTTAGTATAATTTTATAAATGTATAAAAATGTTATTATTAATTACAGTTTTTGAAAGATTTTTCCCCAAAAAACAAAAAGTATTTTAAATTATAAAAGTAAATGTTATATTCTTAAAACATTAAATTGATAGACTTTTGATACACTTCTTCAATTTTTTTATTCAAAACATCGGCATAAGAAAGTATTAAAACTCCTTTGTACTTTATTAATCATGATCATATAAAATTTATTATTAAAAATTTATTTAATATTTTTACAGTACTTAATGTATGTAAAAAAGACAAGATCATACATTTTTTTTTAAATCCTTAGATATATATATTTTTGTAGGAATATGTTAACAAAAGATGTACTTTGAGATTTCATCCTTACTGGAAGGAGTAAACATCCTTTCTTTTTGGATTTTTACCAGTATATATAAATGTAACATAAAAAAAATAACTTTCCATGCAGGAAATAAGGAAAAAACTTAAGATGTAAAAATCGATATCAGAGATCTACAAATGATATTACCTAAAGAAATTGAGAAATTTCTGAATGTTACGTGATGTTAACATCATCGTTAAATCATCTTGATTTTCATCAATTTCATTAATTTTAGAGTTTGAATCACATGGATTCATAAATTCACTCAAACTTGTTAAATATTCTGTACTTCACGCCATTCCTCAATCCTTTGCGTTTTTTCTAATTCAGATTTTTAATGTCGATTTTACAATACTTAGTATTTCTACGTTTTTTCTTAATATTAAGTAAAAGAAAATGTATAGTATAATGTAATTATAATAATCATCTTAGTATTTTTTAATTTTGAAATTACATTTGAATTATAAATTATTATTGCTTAAATAATTCTTAATTTAAGATTTAGGTCAGTTTAAATTCAAGCTTGGAATTCAATATCATGATTTATACATGATAACACTCAAGTTTCTGCATCAAGATATAAAGAATGTATGAGGTATCCTGTGAATTGTGCTTTAATGTAACTAAATCAAGTACAAATATGTGATAGCATAATTTATAATGCTGCAATGAACTATAAGTAACTTTGTATGGTGTCATCAAATAATATATATTAGAATAATAAATTTACTTTTATTACAAACCTGTATAATACATTATAATGTATTATACTTACATGCGATAATGTATAATATTATCTTTATCATAAAAAATTAAATGTTTGTTATTTCTTCTTCATGTATTTAATAACATTTTTGTTAAGTGCAATATCTTTCTTATATGGTGTACACAAAATAGTCATATTTAATATTACATAATTTTATAAAAATAATTTACAATTTTGTAAAAAGACATATGCACAATATAAAAATTATATAAAAATTAAATAAGTATCTTTATGTATCACATTTATCACGTGACTTAAATATTTTTGAATGTATACGATGTAAATTACTGCTTTTTTGAACATTGATTTTATAATATATGTACACTGCATTGTGTGGAGAATAAAAATGTATTGTTTATGAAATAGTTTATAAAAATTTTATTTTACTAATTTTTGCATACATTTGCGTATATTATTACATAATTAATTTTTTATTTCCTTTTTGGAATTAGTCTTTCTTATTTTCTTTTCTAATTGCTCTTTAGCACTTTTGTTTGCCTTTTTCTTTTTATTATCACTAGTTTGTAATTCTTTTGTTTCTTCTTGCTGTAATTCTAATGCTTTTTCTAATGGATCACCTTTAAATATCTCATTTATAGGATTCAATGAATATGATTCTTCTGGTTTATTAACTTCTTGTGCCATTTTCTGCTCCATTTTATTTATGTATTTATTAGCACTATTTTTTTTCAAAGAGTGTCGGAACTATAATTTACAAAATTTTAATTATTAAATTTATTACTTTTAATTTTATTTTTCATTATATAATATATGATATAGATTAAAAATTTGATTAATTTGTACCTTCGCAGGGGAAATATAAGTTGGATTATCCCAAAGTACTTTCCCACTAAAACTACTAGCAAATATTTTTATTGGATTTAATACAAATCTTGGCCCTATCTCAGTTAAACCACCATCTTCTGTCAAAATTTGAAAATTTCGAAACCATATTCGATTATCCAGTATAGTAAATGTATATACATGATCAAAAAATGGTTGACTTTTAGGATGATGATTAGGAACACCAAAAATCTGAACAAACAATTCTTTTAAAAGACAATAATGTGGTTCCATGTTAAAATTCTCATCAAATGATAATAGTGGTCGAGAACCTTTTAAACAATTACCAGTCATTTTTAATTCTCCCATAGTATAAACTATAACATAAAAGTCATTTCGTATTTTAAGTATTTATATTATTATGAATACTTGCAATAAATTTATAGAATTTGTCAATCTGAATTTATAAATTGTAATACATACTATTCTCAACAAGAAATTTTGCACATGGTCCTACAGGATTATTAGAAAACCATAAATATAGATCTTTTTTTCTTCTGCCTTCAAATAGTACTGTTTTATTACAGTTTTTCATTTCACAGATTTCATTAACAACTTCTAGGTTTTTAGTACGTTCCATTTTAGATTCAGAGCGATGATGAGGCATAAGAGCTTTTAAATCATCCATAAGATGACGATGTCTATAACTGATTCCTCTAGTAGCAAATACTAGTACTCGTTGCCTATTTATCCATTTTACCTAAATTATAAAGGAAAATGTTATATAAAATTCATTACCAATTGTAATATAATAATTATAATATAACTTGATTATGTTTGTATTCGAATTTATTAAAATATAAATAATATTTTCAAACCTTTTTTGGTAATGGTTCATTTGACATTCTTTTTGCTGGTAAAACTTCGTTTTCTGATACATTTTCTATTTTAGGATTTTCGGGTTGTTTACGTTTCAGTTGATTTTTTATCATTATTACTTTGAAGCAATCACATAAATAAATATTAAAAATGATTTCCAGAGGTTAGATACCTTCAAAGTAAGGTTAATTGAACAGAAACAAATTACACGTGCTTTCAGTTACAGAGAAAATAAAACTACACAGCTTATGTGTACAGCCTAAAGTATTTAGATTCGTAATGTTTGATTTATAGGGAATAATGATAATTTATATTATTTTATTAATAGATAAGACAAATTATAATAATAACATTTATATGATATATGATATTCATGCGAATATATAAATTTTAAATAAAAAATCATTATTTCGAAATAAAATATTCCAGTTTGTTCATGAAAGGGACCCCTTACATTATTTACTTACAAGATAAATTCGAAGCACCTAACTAGAAAAGGTATCCAGTTCAAATAAAAATTTTACCGCCTGCGATCAGCGACATTTATGATTTGGGCTCAAAAATCAAGAAAGTGATAGGAATATAGAATAGACGAGGAGGTCGTCTAAGAACTCGTCACGTGACAGTTAAGGACAGAGAGGGGATAGAAAAGGATAGAATGGCTCCGGCAGTGAAAAATTATTAATTACTCAATTTCCGTAAACAATTTGTGAACTTTTATAATTTCATTGCAAAGCTAGAACGTCAGGCTGCATTCTTATATAATATTCGTAAAGAATTTAACTCTAAATTGTTAGTTATTAATTTTTATTTGATGGCGTCTATGATTTCGTAACGGCGACCATCACGATCTTCCGTGAAAATATTTAATACTCGACGAAACTAGAAACAAAATGTGATCAAAAGTTATATAAGAAGATTCGCAAGGACATTGGTTTTATAATAAGTGCTTAAAGTTTCATAAATTAATTGTGTAAGGGATAGTAATTAATGAAAAACCAATGGCGTCTCCGATATTCTTCGACAACAATTCAAACACTGCGCAGAACAATTATTAATAATTAATTAATTAGGGACAAATTTCTATTGAAAAATATATGTGAAAGATCGTGAAGGATCTGGTTTTACGATGGTATTATAAAAGTTCATAAATGATCTTCCGTGAAAATATTTAATACTCGACGAAACTAGAAACAAAATGTGATCAAAAGTTATATAAGAAGATTCGCAAGGACATTGGTTTTATAATAAGTGCTTAAAGTTTCATAAATTAATTGTGTAAGGGATAGTAATTAATGAAAAACCAATGGCGTCTCCGATATTCTTCGACAACAATTCAAACACTGCGCAGAACAATTATTAATAATTAATTAATTAGGGACAAATTTCTATTGAAAAATATATGTGAAAG